TTCATTATAACTGGCAAAGTTCATAGACAAAACACTTGTCTTCTGCTAGACACATTTTCCAAACAAATACAACATGCTAACGTTATTAGCACAAGCCTATGGCATTTTATATTGCATAAACAAGCCTAGTGGCTAGCAGACTTTACTCAACTCACGAGGGCAGGATATTTAACGCAAACATACTTAAAATGGCATTAAGTGAGGGCTTTATTGTCTTCACAATTAATTGTTTCTTATCGGTCGTTGCGATGTGTAGTTACATTTCTGGGGATGTGCACATCAGGCTAAGGCGGCCATAGATACAGCATCGACTCAACGTAGAAGTATAAATCCAGCTCTAGGTTCAATAATCAGCATAACACAATAATTAAATAGTAACTTGTCAAAAACAATAATGTGCACACCAACAGGACACGCTAAATGCTAAAAAGCCAAAATACAGTGCAACTGTACCTTGTGAAACCAAAGGTCAGTCACTCATTACTCATGACATGACATCCGTCTTACTTTTTTCATTCTTGAAAGAAGCAGCTGAAGCTAAATTTATATTTCTCTAAATTGTCTTCTAAGCTTATTTGATATTGTGAATTAAAAAAGGAACGTCATGTATCACAGTTCATTTTAGTGGCAAACAGAAAATCCTTGGGGCATACAGCTTTGATTATTTTGGAGTCCCCGCACGCCGGTATTGTAATACATTGGGAAACTCCAGTGTTCCAGACACTGTTAATAAATATACATGGCAGTAAATATATTGATCCCTTTGAGTCTGGGGACCACAGAGTGAAAAACTCCCAATAAATCAATGGGTCATATGCAGTCTACAAGGTGACTTTTGCAGTTTCTTAATGCATTCATCCTGCTGCAAAACAACTATTCTAGCAGATGCAATTTGTTGTGTGTTGTGAATAGTTTGCAAGAGAACCTCAAGCATCTTTTCCAGTCAACATGACTTTTGCATCAGATTAACTGATTAGCAAAGGTGTCTGTGTGGCCAAGGACTGTTCAACAGTCAGCCGGCAGTTTCAGCAACCATGGGAGGGAATAATTTCAGCCAGCTGTGCCTTTTCACGTCAGCTCTTGCCACTTTTCCGACCCCTCCCTCACCATACAACTCCCTGATGCACTCGGAATGACAGAGGAAAGGAAATTATCGAACACCAATACAATGAAGCTGTCTGGTAACTTAATAGGGCTGCTGAGTAGGGGCACTGTGGCCATCTTGCTTTGAGGCGATAATGAGAGTCATCATTCCCTCTTGGGCTGGAAGAAAGGGGGCTCCTCTGTGGTGATGGTGTGTGAGCATGTGTGCGTTTATGTGTGCACGCGCATGCATGTGTTTGTCTTTGAGCTTCTTCGAGTCCGGTGAGGCCCAATAAGCAAACAACACAGTGCTTTAACGAAGCCAGAGAGATCTCCCGTTGAATACAGCTTGGGAGAGATCTCTGAGAAATTCTGTTCATTAAATCAGGCTAAAGTCCAAATATTGACTTAAGCTTTAGGGAGACACAAAACATAGACTTTCATATCATATTACAGGTCCCTCAACCATTTATATGTTCTTTATGTAAAACTGGACAACACGACAGCTCCCTAAAAGTAAAGCCAAAACATCTTGATTGCCCCATTGGTGGCTGGCCGCAGTAAAGGTCATAAACCCCGCCCCCTCCATGTTAGCAAATGCAACATAAGCCAAACTTAGAGATCAGCGTCACATCAAATTAGTTTCTCCCAAAGCCTGTTTATGTTATTAAGTATATTATCATGCTGATGTATGTTCAAGTGTTCATTTTTCTGATGTTTGTTTTTAATTAGTTACTTGATGCTATAAAAAAAGGGGGTTTGATGTCATAATTGACAGCCATGTGGGCCAATCGATCAACAGTGCTGGTCGAGATTGGTCGAACGGGTGTATGGGCTGGAACTCCATACCACGGCGATCGCTACTGCACAGACTCTGGCCCCAAATGACATCCCCAGCACAAGACGGCAGGTGCCTAATCCAAGATAGTTCGGCTTCACTTTTCATTTTTATACAGTGGGATTAAGAGAAGACTCAAAACAGTCTAGGGTCTGTGCGTAGGTGTGGGGCCTCCCTACTGTAGTGGTTAGAACCCTCGTCTACCAGGCGGAGGTCCAGGGTTTTGAATCCTGCTGGGGTTGACATAAGCAAAGGCATGCAGTCGCAAGAATGTTCCCACCACCGAATCAAACAGGATCAGATTCCTTAAGGAGGCTTCAGGATAAGAGATTAACTCCGGAATCTGAGCCAAGTCCTCAACACGGGCGCGTCTGAAGCCTGTTGTAGACGGGAGGTTCCAGACATAAAAGCGGATTTGGTCTGTACTGATGTAGCGAGAATCGTTCATCTGATCTACTTCACACTAGGCAGGTGTATTTCTTTAGACCCATGGACGTGCAGGGTCAAATTTGGTGCAATTTTGACACATGGAACATTTAATATCAAACTTTAAAAATCAAGCAAACAGTGCTTTGTGCAGCAGCGGGGGCGGGACATCAGTGCTAAGTTCACTTTTGCTGCTTGGTAAAGTAACGTTACAAGCGAACGTTCATGGAGTCAACGAGCGCAAGAGGCCAGCTTAAATTGTGTAAGTATGGCATACTAACTATAAACACTATTAACATTCCCGCCAGCGAAATATCTCCGCTAATTAAATCCATGCTCTACTTTATAACCATGGTGGTTATGTCAAAGTAAGAGACTAATGTCCCTATTTGGAAATTAATACCTCCGTGTATTTCATCAGTGTTTCTGACCATGAGTGGCCGCGACTTTGGCGTGTTTTTCAGGGACAAGATTTAATGATTTTGTGAATAAAAAGCAAACAGCCATTCTCTAACTAAGAATGTTGGTATTGGCAGTGACAGAAGAGGTACTCAGAACTTTGGTTTTCATGAGTGGTTCTCGAGACAGCTGCAAGCAGCATCAACCACAGGCCCAGCAAACAGGCACTGCACTAGTTCATCAAACTTTAAACAAAGGATATTTCCCTGTTTATTTAAATCACCAGTGGGGTTTCCATTTGATGAAATCGCACAAATTCAGGAACAATGTCTACAAGCAGCTTTGTGGACATTAAAAGGAGTCCTAAGGGATACCATGTGAGATATTTACACCTTGAGCTACTGCATCTGTAGTCCTTTAATAAGCATTCTGATGTATTGTATAAGACTGGAGAGGGAGAAAAAGGGAACGAAGAGGAGAGAAAAAAAGGGAGAGTCTAAGGACATCAGTTTCTCAGCACTCTAGTGTAGATCAGGCTGGCAGTGAAACATTACGGTATGATTGTGCAGTGCTTGCTTTCACTTTGTGCCCAGTATACTGTAAGTTGTAAGTTTAACATAGTTAAACATGGCCCGAGGAGAGCATGTGTGAAAGTGTGGAGGGGCAGAAGGATTTGGCAGGCCAGGGTCAAAAGGCATTTTGCGCTCGCAGCCATGGCTGTATTAAACAAGGAATGAAGTATTCAAACATGGCAGTCCATTCATTTCAAAGAAATCTGCACACCAGGCTCGTACACAGAGAGAGATGTTTCAGCTTTCTACTCCCATAATGCATGCAGATTGGAGTCGTTCTCTCAGACTGTTGATCCCAGCCCAAGGGAGTTTGGGTGGGAGGGACATCACTTCCCTGTGTTTACACTGTGTCTATACCTCTGTCTTGTTAGCTTTTTCCCCATTTGCTGATGGTGGTCCCAAGGGAGCACAACAGGTGATGAATGTTTAATGTAGGGAAAACTGGGAGTACGACTAACGAGAGTGTAACTACAAGACAATGGTTTGTAAAACAGATTCCTGTCTTCTAGCCTTCATAAAAAAACACACATATATCAGATATATCAAATCCACGATGCCCTCACACAAGGTCAAATGCACTGATCAATAATTTGCAAGCTATGTTTGCATACGTTAAGTTTTTCATTTTAAGCCTATAATATGAGTGATTCAGAACATTTGCCCTGATTTGTTGTGTATATATCACTTAGCTACAGTTCACACAACAGTAAGGAAAGGGCAGCTGCAATCTGATATGTGCGTACAATAAAGAGGCACACACATGGCTGACATAGAAGGGAAATACTGACTACTTATTTAAATCAATAATTCTCTATGGATTCACTGATGCCTATGCAAAGACCTGCAACTTAGACTGAGAAACCTCAAAGTTCAAGTTTTTTTTCCAGTGGTGGAATATTGCACACACTGCAGAGAACACAAAGGATATATAGATATAGACAGATATAGAAAGAAAAAAGATGCAGTAGATAAAGCAGACGAATCTCCAACCAACACTGTGCATAGTACACAATGGTGAGTAAGGAATTTACAGACAGCAAATTATTCCTGCATCATGAAAGGGCAAAAATAAATAAACTTGGCATTGCTGTTCACAGTGCAGGCAGAATATGGCGAGGCTGCTAGTTTACAAGAAACCCTCCCCATGTTGATACACTGTAGTTGATAACAGAGAGTAAGAAAAACTGACATCATTAAGATTCACCAGTGTGCGAGCAAAGCAACACAAGCAAACCTCCTCCAACCCCCAGATGACTATCAAGCACTGTGTTTTCTAAGCATGGAGGTAATGAGACAAATACTTATTACTCAAGTAAAAATGGCATGAATATTAGCATCGCATTAGGCCTTGGACTTAATGATGTTGTAAGTACAATATGTCACAGTAACTAAGAGGCAAACTATATTTAAACAATGTATAGGGAGGAAGGCAAAGATGTGGAGAAAGCAGAGCGTATTTCAGTGCAGTATTTCAAACAGAAGCATGCCTAAGCATGGATGGAGTCATGTAATGAGGAAATGATACTGAATCCAACAAATCATAACTGAGCTTAACGTGCCATTGCGTGGGATGGTGAAGCATAACTGCTGTACAACATAATTTGACTTTATTAAAAGTAATGACTTGTGTTAAGTGAATCTATGGTGATCGTTTAGTGAGAAATGGGACCATCAGTACTCACTAAAGGGGTGCAAGGGGTCCAATATTCAGGGTTCAGCTCGGCTCGCGGACGGAGGTCCAGATATTCAGGATTCAGTTCAGTTCGGGCACGAGTTAAAGTTCCCTTCATGGAAGATTGGAAAAGAAAGTCTGTTAGAATTGCTGGTCTAGCTTTGGTGTGTTTGTTATTCTGTTTTAAAGGGACAGTTCAAGCCAAAATCAAAAATACAGATTTTTCCTCTTACCTGTAGTGCTATTAATAAGTGCAGATTGTCTTGGCGTGAGTTGCTGAGTGATGGAGACATCAGCTGTAGAGATACCTACCTTCTCTCAAATAGTGTGGAGACCTAAACACTTGGCTTGTGGTGTTCAAAGCACAAAAAGAGGGCATTTAAAAAACTCAACAGCATTGTCTCTTTCCAGAAATCATGACCCTTCTGCATGGTGATACGGTTGGTGGGTGTAGTTTGGTAGAAAGAAAATAGTTCCTACGTTTAACTGCTCACAACAAGATCTGTGGATTATCTTGAGTAGCTGGGTCATGATTTCTGGAAAGAGACATCACTGTGCAGGTTTTTAAATGTATTTTTTGGCGCTCTGAGCACCACAGGCCGAGTGCCATCTAGTTCTGTTATATTTGAGAAAAAGTAGACATCCCTACAGACACTTGGCAACTCACACCAAAATAATCTGGACTGATAAATATCACTACAGGTGAGGGGGAAAATATGCACTTTATTATTCGGGGGTGAACTGTCCCTTTAAGATCTCACAAACCCAGTATATTTCACTCATAAACATATTATGATGTTAAATGCTGAAAAAAAAAAATCTAAGTCCTTCTTTTTTTAAAAGCTATTTTACTGCCCTCAAATAAGCTTGACTCTGTAGTGTCTCTTTTTTTCAGAGCAAAGACAAACCATTAGCAAAAAGAAATCATTATCTATAATGACTATTCGCAGTAGAGCACTTAAAAGATGCCAATTCAACATTCCACAACAAATTTTCAACAAGTATTCCTGTAAAATGAAGAGCAAATTATATTCCAAATGAGGTTAGAATCCAGTTTTGCATTCCTGAGGCCCTATGGCCTAAATGACAGGCCAGTGGAATAGACTGAATCTGCTGGGCCCCATGAGGTCTATGATGTATACTGTAATTATCTGCTGATTCTCAAAATGGCTGTGTGTAATGAGGCTATGCTGCATGAAGCCCCAGGCATAAATCACTGTCTTTAACTGACTTCCAGATGACCAACAACAACACAGAGCAGAAGCAGAGAGAAAGGAGGGAATGGGTTATCTGGGCAGCAGCACTATATAGCATCCAACTTGTGCTCCTTATCAGCAAAGGCCATATTGTTCGCCAAACTTGCTTACTTAAGACAGTTTTCTGTCTCCCTAAAAATAGTCAACTCACTTGCACTTATTCTCAGTTATTTATCTGTTTACGGCTTGGCTACCAATATATTAGCTGCTTGCAGCTTTATTTAGCTATGCAACACAGGTGGAGACTTTTTATTGATGCTGTGTTAGGCTCAGCTATGTTGAATGGCAACATGCCAGTCAGTCTGTCAGACTGTCTGCTGTCATTGGCATGAAACTGTTTCCATCATCTGACTCACACACACAAATATAAACAAATAAACAGCTACCACCCCCACCACAAGACACACACACACACACACACACACACACACACATTTTGAATATGAGGAAAAATATGCAGAATCTTTCTATGTGCACACAGGCTCAGTTAACAGACACTTATAGGAGGATACTGGACCATGTACAGAATTAGGTGGATGGTAACATATTGTACAATTAAACCAGATACAGTCTCTCAGCAGAATCTTGAGAATCACAGCACTGAAAGAGATAACCAAAAGGGTAGGAAAAAAAACTAACCCCCCATATTTAATAAAAAGGAAAAGTGACTCACAAAATAAGGACTAGGGAAGATGTGTTTGAGAAAAGGTGGCTGATAGATGATGGGAGACTGCAGCTATACTGTCATTGTATTTAATGTATAAAAATGTGTACAGTGTATGAGATATTAGAACATATTAGTTATTATTTTCTACTATACATAATCCCATGTCTCTTTAACTGTTTAGTTATTTATTTTTTTCTTCTTTTTTTTCTCTGTCGTTATTATACTGTGATTGTATTGGTTCCTTATATCTTTTGTATCTTTATTTATTTATTTTCCCTTTAACTCTGAAAATGAACTCTGAAAATGGGCTTGAAAAAAAAACCAGATAATTAATAATGAGGGAACATTTTACATCTTTGGTTGGATCACTGTCATCAGCAAGCAGTCAATAATGCATTATTCATACAGAGGTTATTTGTAGCATGGCAAGCATGGTAAAACTGAAAATGATACATATCATTGTAATATACTTTTTAGTTAAAAAATATATAAAATAGTACATTTTGTTTAGCCTTTTAGATAGAATGGAAACCCAAGCAGCCAACAAAGTTTGGATTCTTTATATGATACAATTGGACACCAACACTGGGGCAAAATTTGTGAATGTATTTTAAAGCCTTGTGTCTGTTCCGGTTGCCGTTAATGTCAATGGGGAAAAAAAACTTGAGTTGTGTTGACCTATCGCTGGTGTTACTGTAACTGTAAAAGGCCTATACACACTAGGGGCGTGCCAAATAAACAACCAGAAAATGTGAAATACTTGCCTGCAAAAATTTCGCATCAAATCTATTCATACCTGCAGCAATGCAAATTTGCGACAGTTGCAACAGTTGTTCAGTAAAAGGTTTTGATATGAATAGATTCGCCAGTCACACAGTGTTTACTGTCTAGGGCAGTGGTTGCAAACTGGTGGGTCGCGGTCCAAAAGTGGGTCACAGGTCCATTCAGAATGGACCACAAGTGACTTACAAATGTGTCACATTTGTAAAAAAAAATTATTTTGAAGTACATTTCCAGCACAGAGTTTTTAATGTGGACCGCCATCTCCTGCTGTAAAATAAGTGACTAATGGACAGCTACTGGACAGAGGCAGCAAAGTAGCTTGACAACATGGCAAAACACAAGTATGATGTTTAATGTATTAGACTGTGTGGACCTTGAACTAATCAATAAGGCGCAATCTACACCCTGTAGCTGGACCAGTTGGGAACCACTAGTCTAGGGCTTTTATTGTGAAAAGGAACGAAAAGACTGGATCTGGTATGTGCTGCCTTTGTCAAGGTTGAAGAAAGTAATAAAGTTTGCTGTCTTGGTTTGGACTGCAGTACCGCCATGTTGTTGTTTTATTACCCTTATAAGTAAAAGATAACGTGATTGGTTGATGCCTTTACTTGCAGTGTGAAAGCTCTGAAAATTTGACCTTGTTCTGTCACTATTCATGACAAAAACAACAGGCATACTCAGTCTGATTTAATGGAGACACGCATATAGTCACCTGCACTGATGATGACTTTTTGATGATGATTTTATACCTAATATTTATAATCATGATTTTTGTCTCGTCATTTTTAATACCTTCTATTGTATTTTACAGAATTGTTTGATTTTATAATCTATGGATACATTGCTGCTTGTTTTAAACTGTGTCTTGAAAGGTGTCCTTGAGTGCTCTGAAAGGTGCCTAGAAATAAAATGCATCACCATCATTAATATTAATTCTTAGATGCACTTAGACCATTTTAACAAGAAACTTTTCTCACAGCGGTTTCCCTCAAAAATTCGCCCAATTATTGGCGAAAGATGAGGGGAAATGGGTGAAAGGAGGGTAGAGCAATATTCAGAGCCTTTATCTCATTATGCATCTTCTTAATATATTCCACTTGTCTGTCACTCTAATTAATGGCAGTCCTTCTCCATAAACTGCTCAGAATGTGAGATTATTTATTAGTACCTATCCATTTATCACCGCAGGGATAAGTGACAGAGAGAGGGGAAGTAAGAGTTGGCAACATTATAATTGATCATTTTTCACTCCACAATGTCAGAGTGATCCTGGTAAATCCTTGGTTGCAGTGTGTGATACTGTCAACGCTGACAACAAAAATAAGGTGCATGAATAAAACGGGGTTATTGAGATTGATTGAGTGCTGACGGTGACGGGAGGCTTCAGTCCACTTTCCATTAGCTGAAATGGCAAAAGGAGAACATTTGGGATCGAAATGTTGCAGCGAAAGATAAACAGATAATTAAAGCAGTGGGAGCACAAAGAAAAGAGCAGTCTACTTTTGACATGCTCTGCTTTCTATTTGGTGGTGCGTCCATCTCCTCTCTTCATTTACCTGAAATTAACATTAAAATTGTTGTTTGGACTTCCTAATTTGAGCTGTCATGCAACTAAATGCATTCAAACAACCAGAATGTACGATTCTGTCCAAGAGAAAGTGCTAAATGGTAAATAGTGGTGTAGGTGATTTGGTCTTTTGGGGGTAAAATTGATTTTGTTTCCAATTTAATTGAAGCAGTGGAGGGACTGCTGAGGGTGGCATGACTGATGGAGAGTCCCACATTGAAAGTATTCCAGAAATGTGCAGTGCTGTTGAGGGGACAGTTGCATTACAAATGGAGACCAAAATGAGACTGAAATTAAACCAGCAACGCATCATAATGCAGACTCAACAGCCGGTGGCAACTGACTTTTGGTAATTTTGAGGCTAGAGCGAGGCATGTTGCACATCTATGTTGCTTAGGGGGTTGAGGAATACATTTTCAGATGGTTTGGGTGGGAGTGGTACCCACCATGACCAGTAACAACACAACAGTCTGGGAAAAATAGGCCCCCTCTCAAAAATATACTTTTTTTCTCATGTAGGAGACGCAGCTTCATGACAAGTGAATATATGGCACCCTATATTGGCGTAGGAGGATATACAGTGACACATTTGCTCAGTGTGTCATTCATGTCCCGAGAAACCATTGCTCAATCCCAGAACAGGTTAAATTATATTAGAAAAAAGCCACTCAGGACCGGTGGTGGACAGCAGGGAAAGTAAAGGGCACCCAACAGCCATTTCCTGACATCTTCACAGGGTGCTGACACTTCGACGCTTCTCATTTCACACATCCTGGTGCACAATCCTTGCTGGATCACAGTCATTCACGCCACAAACACATTTATACATGAATACATAC